CCATCTCTAAGGTAAATGAGAAAAGTTTGCCAGTTCTTCCCAGCCCTGCAACAGATACCAGACAACAGGCTTCCCCAGTTCTGTTAAGAAACTTCCCCAGGGAGAAGGTGGTCAACAACATGCTTTTACCAGAAGCACTTGGAGTTTCTGGTCTTCCCGACACTTTATGTTCTCAATCTCATCTCTCTCCATGCTCAGAGCTTCCAACCGACTTCTGAGACGTTCCTACGGGGAGAAGAATGGGTGGAAGAGGTGGCTGAATGCAACTCACAAATATTAATCATCTACCAAGTTCCAGAAGGTCCCTGGGTGATGCAAATGGTTTGCTCTTGGCTACTAACTGAAAGGTTGGTGGTTCCAGTCACCCAGCAGTACCGCGGAAGAAAGCCCTGGTCGTGGCAATCTGCTTCTATAAATATTACAGCCAAGAAACCCTGTGAAACAGTTCTACTCTGTAACACACGGGGTAGCCATGAGTCAGAATTAATGGCAGCATGTACGGTTTTGGGTATCAAGTTCCAGGCACAATGTTAGGTGCTGGGGATTCGAGGGTGAAAAAGACGCAGTCCTTGCCCCTGAAGAGATCATCATCCAAGGAAGGAGTCAATCATAAGTGATTAAAATACAAAACGACAAATGCAATCATGGAGGTGTGCACACAGTGAGATGGGAGACAGAGGAGGTGGCAATTCTGCCTGCAGGGCTAAGGGAAGGTTTTAGAAAGCATAAAACATGTAAAGTGTGCCTGGAAAGAGAAATTTGAAGTTGGATAAGAGAGGGAGAGAAGAGCATTCTAGGAGGCAGGAACTACATTTGGAAAGTACTAGAAGCAGGAAAGAGTCCAACAGTTAAATAAAGAAACGGCAAGTACAGCTCAGTGTGGGTGGTCATGTGGTGCCTTGGGGAGAGTGGCTGAGAAATGAGCCCGCAAAGGAAAGCAGGAACCCAAGTATAAAGGGCTTGAATGCCGCGTTAAAGACTTTGGGCTTTCTTTGGGCAGTAGGGATCCATGCAGGAATTTTAAACAGGGGAGTGACGTGACTAGCTAGATTTGCCTCACAGAAGATTGGAGGGTGCTTGGAAAGGCTGAGAATGGAGACAGAGAACACGTTAGATTATACAAAGTCTGGGTGAAGGATGGTGTGAGCCTGGATTTGGCAGTGGCTGGTATGTGATGGACTACTAACCTAAAAGGTTGGTAATTCAAACCCACCCAGTGGCACCATGAAAGAAAGGCCTGATATTCTGCTTCCATAAAGATTACAGCCAAGGAAACCCTATGGAGCAGTTCTATTCTGTAACACATGGGGTCACCATGAGTTGGAATCAACTCAACAGCAACGGGCGTTTTTTTTTTTTTTTTTTTGGTTTGTGGCAATAAGGAAAGTTAAAGATTCAAGAGAGAAACATTAAGAGATGTTTCTAAGGAAACCACTTCGAGACCTGGTGACTGGATGACAAGAGAAAGATCTGAGAGGCAGAGAGAAATGAATAATTTCCCAAGACCAGATAGGAAATTTTTATAATGTTGGGCTACTGCTGCACCTCTCTTTCTCTAAAAGAAGAGCGGTGATTACAGGTTACCCTTCCCCTTCCCTCACTTCCCTCTGAGCCTCAGTGGTTCAGGTAAATCCTGTATCTCAGGTGGAGGCAGGGAGACCAAGTGCATCCTGCCCATAACCTGCAAAGGCTCCTACTCTGCACTGGGCTGTCCTTCCATAGTGAGTGAAGCCAGGAATGAAATTCTTTGTGTCACTGTGGGGCCCACAGGGAAGTAGCTGGCTCAGCTCCATGGCTGTGCGTGTCCTCTGAGGGCTGGGACTCAAGTTCTCCCTAAGACCATGAACTCCCACACATCCAAGTGGAACCACATCCCACCATCAGTCTGGGAGTTTCCTGAGTGTCCCCACAGCCTCTGGAGGAGCCTGGATGGTGCAAGCAATTTGCAATCAGCTGCTAACCTAAAAATTGGAGGTTCAAACCCATTCAGCAGTTCTTTAGGAGAATGGTCTAGCAATCTGCTTTCATAAAGATCTCAGCTGAGAAAACCCTATGGAGAAGTTCTACTCTGTAACACCTGGGGTCGCTATGAGCTGGAGGCCGACTTGATAGTGCTAACAACAATACATCCTACAGTCTCAGGGTCCCCTTCATCCAAATCCCCAGCCCATTCCCTGAAACAAACAGGTCCGAGGTAAAGCCACGCTTCTTACCCGGTAGGGTTGAATGGCCTCCTCAAGGAGCCCCACAGAGTGGGACTGGTGGGAGGGACCCTCCCTGCAGAACACACAGAGGAACTCTGCATCATTCTCGCAGAAGAAATAAATCTTCTCGCCATGCTCCTCGCAGTAGGTCTCTCCCAGAGAGCCCAGGGGCAAAGGGACCATGAGGCTCTCCTGCTGCTCCTTCTGCTGGCAGAGTGGGCAGAGCAGGACCCTGCTGGAGGGGTGGGCCCCCATCTGGGAGGGCACGGGGAGGCAGGGCCGGCAGAAGGTGTGTCCACAGGTGGCAGTCACTGCATCCTCCAGGGGTCCTGTGCAAGCAGGACAGGCGGCCCCCTCTCGGACTGCCCACAAGGAGGAGGTTGAGGACATCACAGTACCTTGCCCAGCCAGTCCCCTCAGGCCTCTGGCTCCTTCCACACAAATTTACTTTCCCCGGATTGGAAAGGAATAAGAGGCCAAGAGAGAAAGGCAGGAACGTCAGGACAGGAAGCCACCTGGCTCCACCTCTTGTGCCTTCTCAGGGCCCTCCTCTCCTGGGCCACCACCCATCAGCTAAGTGGGTCCAAATTCCAGGGTATTTTGAATTACCCAGCATTTCCGATGGCAGCCAAGGGAACCCAGTTTCTGTGTGGCTTTATAATGGCTCCTTCCGGTCCCAGGGGTGGGGAGCAGAGCATGACGTAAGGCAACAAGGAGAAGGGGTTTCCTGGAATCCCTCCCTTCACCAAGGTGGGGTGGGAAGGATTGGGGAGTGGACACTTCCTGTCAGATTGAGCAGATGAGAGCCATAAACTTCTGGCAATGAGGCATGCCCACGGCCCACGGAGGCAAAGTCCAAGCTGGAGTAGGTGTGACTGACTTCTGGAGACTCTGGGGGGGACTAGAGATTGCTCATTGGATGCTTTCCTCTGCCCTCCTTTCCTTGCCTCACCTCATCTCCCCAGGCTGGTTTTTACTCCTAACTCATCCCACCACCTAGCGCCACTGTCCTCACAGGAGTTTGGGTCACAGTGGACTTCAATTTTATTTAAACTGCAGGTAGACAAAGGCAAGAAACCATAATGCAATTGATTCATGCTGATAACCAAGTTTAGAAGACTCAATTAGTCAAAAGATAAACAGATTCAACCACATTTATCTAAGGTTTAGTGTTTTCATATTATTACATCCAACTCTGACAGCAACCTTGGAGCAGGTACCATTACCTTCATTTTACAGAGAAAGACAGGTAAACTGATGTTCCCAAGGCCACAGAGCTAGTAAGCAGTAAGGCTGAGGACAACCCAAGTCTCCTTGCTTCAAACCCTGTGCGAGTACCACACTCCAAGCCAAGATAATAGTCTTCATCCACTTGCCACTTCCAGCATGGTTCTTCATCCACTCACCTGCTGGTCTGCATCCATGGAGAAAACCACACTTCCTTCCAGTTCTCCACTGAACGATCAGCTCAGCACTCCATTTTCTCTCCCTTTTCATTCCAACTACTATGGTGAGAATAGTTAATACACTTGGTTGCTAAGAAAAAGGTTGGAGGTTCAAGTCCACTCAGAGGCATCTCTGAAGGAAGTCCTGACGATCTACTTCCAAAAAATCAGCCATTGAAAACCTGATGGAGCACAGTTCTACTCTGACACACATGGGGTTGCCGTGAGTTGGAGTCAACTTGATGGTAACTGGGATGACACCCTACCTGCTGTCTTCCCAAGAGGGCAGTTCTGGGACTGTGCTGTTTAAAATGTAAGCCACCAGCCAATGTGGCTACTGAGTGTTGAAAGGTGGGGAGTCCAATTTGAGATGTGCTGTAAGTGTAAAATATACCCTGGATTTCAAAAACTTAGCACAAATGACAAAGAATGAAAAATAACTCATTAATAGTGTTTATACTGATTGCATGTTAAAATGATAATATTTTGGATATATAAGCCTAAGTAAAATATATTATTAAAATTAATTTCACCCGTTTCTTTTTACTTTTTAAAGTATGGCTACTTGACCATTTTAAATTGCATATGTGGCTCACATTATCTTTCTATTGGACAACGCTTCTCTGGAGACACACAGACTTGCCTGGAAATTATCGGCACCCATCTTCCTGCTGTGTAACCTCGAGCAAGTTAAATAACCTCACTGAGCCTCAGTTTTCTTGTTTATAAAATGGAGATCCTAATGGCACCTACATTATAGAGCAGCAGAAGGAATAAGTAAGATCATCTGATTAAGTTGCTTACATCAGCGTAAGCTACCTAGTCATCATAAATATATGCTGACCATTACTATTTTTCTTCTTTCTCCTTCTCCACACAGGGTACATTTCAACTTCATTTAGAAACTGTGATAGGCCAGTTGGGGCATCACCGTTGAAGTTGCCTGGCACTACGACCTTATCTGAGTGCCCACACTGACGAGAGAGCCCTGGGCTGGCTGATACCCCAATCTCCCCAGAGACAGCTGGTCATATTGCAGGGAGGCTGGGCGGCATCACTGCTGTGTGACCCAGTCTCCCTTCTACCCTCCTGCACCCCAAAAGAAGGAATATCTCTTTCAACGGCAGACAGTTGAGCTATCACCACTTCCCTGCTACTGTGAGTGTCTCCAAAGAAAAGGACCAGTGAGCTCCAGGCCGTGGGCACAGGTCCAGAGAGTAACTGAAGCCATCTCTGGAAAGCTGTGACCCCTTCTTCCTCACCCTCCTCTGCTATTTCTCCATCTTCTACTGTTGGTGGGTGTATGTCTCTTCCTTTGAGAGAGCAGGACCAAACAACACCAGCTGCCAGAGAGGCAAATGGGGGCTTTGTCCTTGTGGGTGGCCTTGTGTGTGTCCGTGCCCTTGTGTGTGTGTGACTGTGTGGGTGCTGGTGCATATTTGAGATGTGCCTGTGTCTGGCCGTGTGCACAGGCGGCTGTATGAGCGTGTGGTGTGTGTCCTCACTGCTTTCCCAGCCCTCCTTCCTCAGCCAAGCAGAGAGGGCAACCTTGAGGACTGACCTTGAGTCTGAATCCTGACTCTGCACGGCAGCACCAAAATGGCAGCCGCCGCCTCTGTGACCAGCCTGGCCGATGAGGTCAACTGCCCCATCTGCCAAGGCACCCTGAGGGAGCCGGTCACCATTGACTGTGGCCACAACTTCTGCCGCGGCTGCCTCATCCTCTACTGCCAGATCGCGGGCCCGGACCCCGAGGAGCCCCCGACCTGCCCGCTCTGCAAAGAGCCCTTCCGCCCAGGGGGCTTCCGGCTCAACTGGCAGCTGGCCAGCGTGGTGGACAACATCGAGCGCCTCAAGCTGGTGTCCTCACCCGGTTCGGCAGAGGAGGACGTCTGCCAAGAGCATGGGGAGAAGATCTACTTCTTCTGCGAGGATGATGAGATGCAGTTGTGTGTGATGTGCCGGGATGCCCGGGAGCACCGGGCCCACACGGTGCGCTTCCTGGAGGACGCGGCAGGGCCGTACAGGGTAGGAAGGAGCAGAGTCCGGGCTTCCCAGGGTGGGCCCTCTGCAACTGGGCTGGACTAAGGGAATTAGGGCAGATTTGTGGATTATTTGAGCCACCTGAAGCAAATTTCTTTCTTCCTATTTATATGATCGCCTAGGCAATCGGCCCAGGGGTGGATGATGGTGTATTTATGTTTTGTGTTTTTGAGTGTGTTCTATGTTGTTTACTTTTGGCCACGACATAATGGAAGCTCAATAAGTACTTGTTGGGAGTCCCTGGGTGGTGCAAACAGTTAAGCACTGGGCTACTAACGTTTGGAACCCACCTAGAGGTACCTCAGAAGAAAGGCCTGGTGATCTGCTTCCAAAAGGCCACAGCCTTGAAAACCCTATAGAATACAGTTCTACTCTGAAACACAGGGGGTTGCCATGAGTTGGAATCCACACAATGGCAACTGGTTTGGTTATTCTTTAAGTACTGGATGAATGAATGAATGAACACAACATGAATGTGTGTGTCTGTGATGGATTAGGCAGATGTGTCTGAGGATGTGTGAGTTTGTTCTGAGGGAATGATTGTAGGAATGATGTGTATATATGTTAATGTTTGCAGGTTTATGAGTGTGTACAATGTGTTCAGAGGTCTGGGCATGTGTGTATTTGAGTATGTAAGTGTAATTGAGTGCTCGTGTTCATGAATAAATTAATGTTTACCTGTACAGGTTGTGTAAATATCTGTTGTATGTAATTTTATCTATCATTAAATGTGTATATACTTTTTTATTTGTTTGTGTGTTGTGTTTTAGTACAAATGGACATCTGCATGTATGTGGAGGTGTTAATTAGTTAATTAGCATGTGAGAGTTCTAGATGTATTTTGAATGTATGTGTATGGACATTTATGTGTGCATTCCTGGCCGTATATGTTCCTAACTCTACTGTAGACCAAATAGTTTTTTTTAAGCGATTCATTGTTTTTATAGTATCCAAGTGTCTTCCCTTCAGAATCGTACAGATAAATGATTCCATTCACAAGGGATGGTCATTATTTGAATCTGTTTTCTTTGAGACATATGAGAAACTTGGGAAAATTTCAAAAACAGTCATATCATATGTTCAAAAGCTCAGGACAGGTCTCAGATACCACTTACCAAAGGCAAACAAAAAACTAAGGTGTTTAACCTGGAGAAGTGAAAGCTCGAGTGGGAAAACTGAGTCATAGCCTCTGATGGCACGTGACAGAGAGGAAGGGCCCTGGTCAAAATTCTTAAAGGACAAAGTAAGAGGAAAAAGACCTAAAGAGAGTACACTATCAAGGATGATTAAGGCCCAGGCATTGTCAGCTAAGGGAGTGGCTCTCTTCCTTGGGCCATTTTCTTCTTGGAGGCAGAGGGTTGGATGAAATGACACCCATTAACAAATCGCTTTTTTCTGTTTTAAATATTTTATGCTCCTTCTCCCCAGGAACAAATACAGAAATGTCTTGAGTGTCTAAGGAAAGAGAGAGAAGAGATTCAAGGGATCCAGTCAAGAGAAAACCAAAGGATACAAGTCCTCCTGGTAGGTCATCACTCCTTCTCTGGACTACTTCCCTGGACCCCTTCTCTTCCTCAGGGTCCATTGTCTCCCTGAAACTGAAGCAGAAGCGTATATAGGGCTTTGAGTCATTCTCAGTTTGAATCCTGACTCTGACACTAACTAGGCATATAACTTCAAGCAACTCTCTAACTTCAATTTGCTCGTCTGTAAAATGGAGATTAAAAGTGGTCACTGCATTGAATTGCTGTAAGGATTAAATGAAGATATCCCTGTAAAGTAGCTTAGCTCTGTGCATATAGCGTGTACTTCATAAAAGGTGTCCCCACCACCTCCCCCACACCTTCTCTGAGCCCTACCCCCTTAGAAGTTCTAGAAGGTGGTGCTGAGGCAATGCTGGGCAGTCTGTCTCCCAGAAATGGGATGGTAGGGGGAAATGAAACCAGGCAGCAGTTCCAAATCTATCTGGGGACCAGGGGAGGATTCTTATTTTACCATTGACCCCTGGAGGATGTGGATCTGGGCCAGGAGGGAGACGGGAGTGAAGTAAGGAAAAAGAAGAGGAAGATGAGGAGAAGGAAGAGCAGTACAAATAACTTTCTCCTGGGGTCTCCTTCTCCCTCCTCAGACTCAGGTGGCCACCAAGAGACAAAAGGTAGTTTCTGAGTTTACACATCTGAGCCAATTCCTAGAGGAACAACAGAGCATCCTCTTAGCCCAGTTGGAGAGGCTGGATGGGGACATCTTGAAGCAACAAGAAGAGTTTGATTTTCTGGTCACTGAAGAAATCTGCCGGTTCAGCGCTCTGATTGCAGAGCTGGAGGAGAAGAACGAGAAGTCATCAAGGGAGCTCCTGATGGTGAGACATAAACCCACACCCATCTGTGCTTTCCCTTGCTCTGATATGACTTATTGCATCTGGACCTTTCTAAGCCACCTCTCCTTTATTCAAACATGTCTGTATCCCAAATGGAAGATGGGTCACAGGACCAGAGATCTGAATTCTAGTCCATGCTTCACTGAGAGTTTCCTGGTCACTTTCCTCTCTGGTCTCTGTCTCTCCATCCCACCACCTGTCAAATAGGGATAATGCTTTCCGTAACTACCTCACAGGGATATTGTGAGAATCCTACAGTAAAATGAAAGTGAAAGTAGCACTTTGAAAAGTACTGAGTGCTATGCAAACAAATGTCAGGTGCAATTTCCAATGCAAACTATTCTTTATAACCTCAGTGTATCACCATCCGCTAGTCAGGAGGTTCTTACAGTCTAACTTCACTCCTTTCACACTGGAGGAGAGCTATATATTGGGGTCTCAACAAAGGATCAGAAAGGCATGATGTAGGGGGAGCACTTTGGACTGAAACATGATCCCTTGGTGTGAGACTTACCTTTGCCTCTAACAAGCAGGTACTGGTCACACCATCCTTCTGGATCTATGAAATCAAGGGATTGGACTCTATGATCCCTGGGAAGCCTCCAAAGCTCTACAACTTAGGACTCTGTCAATGTGGTGTCCTTTTTCTGTCCAGAGCTAGGAATGTGGTATTTTGTCTTTTTTAGTTATAAGGAAAGTGGGAGAGGTGAAAACTGAATCCCTGCTGTCTCTCTCTCTCCCCTAGGATATCAGAAGCACTCTAATACGGTAAGCGATACAGTTCCTCTTTTCTCTTTTCCCACATGAATACACATATATGCACCACGTGCCTAGTTATTGCCATGCGAATATATAGCATTCTCACATTAAGGACATCAATTCCCATGTAAGCTTCACATACCCAAATGCATTCTCATGTACAGCCATACACATCCTCACAGAGCACCCCAGAGTGGGCAGTAGGTCCGTCATAGTGGTGGAAGTATGTCTGCCTGTGGGAACTGGCACATCCATTCTCAGTTAGAAGAAGGCTGCCAGCTGAGTCTGGAGGCATTGACAATAAGGATCTTCCCCAGGTTCTCCTTTGTCTTGGAGAGTTTGAACCACCAGACTAATGAAAACAGCCATTACCTTCTGATCTGTGGGTGGCTAATGGACCCCATCATTTCTGTGTCCCTAGATGTGAAACCAGAAAGTGCCGGAAACCAGAGGCTGTGTCCCCTGAGCTGGGCCAGAGAATTCGGGACTTCCCCCAGCAGGCCCTCCCGCTGCAGAGGGAGATGAAGATGTTTCTGGGTAAGAGGACCCTAGGCCTCCACAGGTGGGCATGAAGCCCACCTGAGCATACAGTGAAGCCTAAGTTTAGGAATGGCCTCGATGCTCCACTGCCAAATGGTACTATGTGAACTTTGGTGAAGCTTGCTCCCTCTCTGTGCCTTGGTTTCCGTATTTGCAGATTTTTAAAAAAATAAAGTCTGCCTATCAGGATAATGTAACAATGGAGATAGTAAAAGTAAAGATTTCCAGAAAGAAAATCTGCCATGCTTAATAATTAAACAATCCACATTTACAATACATGACAAGTTTTTGATAATGAGTATTGTCAATTAATAGCCAGCGACAGTATTTATCTTGTTCCTGTGGTAGCTGACTCTTCCCTCCTCCCTCTTTCCCTACTTTCCCCCTGTTAGCCTTGTTCTCAGAGTTGAGTTGCCCTGTAAGGACTGTGCCCTCCTTTTCCAGAACAGGGACTGGCAGCAAGAGAGGGCGTAGAGTGTTTGAAGTGGGAGTCAAGGTGTGGCATCCTGCCATATCCTCCCCACCACACTGACATCATGGATAGCGCTTCTTATTTCAAAATGACCCACCCACAAAAGTCTCTAGAAAAATTTCCTCAGAAGTCCACCTCCTGCCATTACTCCCAGTAGCCTGGTAGTGAAGGAAATTTTACTCTAATCAAAGTCTGCCCTTTGACTACCCCCAAAACTATTCCCAAGAAGAACGAGAAATAAATTAGCCCACCTTTCCGTGCATTTTACTTGGATCCACAATCAACGCCCATTGAAGCAGCAATCAAGAAATCAAACCACATATTGCATTGGGCAAATCTGTTGCAAAAGACCCCTTCAAGGTGTTAAAACACAAAGAAGTCACTTTGAGAACTAAGGTGCGCCTGACCCAATTTATGGTATTTTCAATCACCACATATGCATGGGAAAGCTGGACAATGAATAAGGAAGACTGAAGAAAAATTGATGCATTTGAATTATGGTATTGACAAAGAATACGGAATATACCATGGACTGCCAGAAGAATTAATAAATCTTTCTTGGAAGAAGTACAGCCAGAATGCCCCTTAGCAGCAGGGTTGGTGAGACTTCACCTCACGTACTTTGGATATGTTATCAGGAGGGACCAGTCCCTGGAGAAGGACGTTATGCTGCATAAAGCAGAGTGTCAGCCAAAAAGAGAAAGACCATCGACGAGATGGATTGACACAGTGGCTGCAAGAATGGACTCAAACATAGGAACAATTGTGAGAATGACCCAGGACCGGGCAGTGTTCCGTTCTGGCGTACATAGGGCCGCTGTGAGTTGGAAATGACTCAACCACACCTAACAACAACAACATCCATTCAGTAAGCAGAGGTTTTTGAAGCATTTAGTATGGCCTAGGCAATGTGCTGGACACTGAGGATACAGAGGTAAGCAAGACAGGGGTGGTCCCTGCTGGCTCAGAGCTGGTGCAGTGATTCTCCAAATGCGGCTCCAGCAGCTTCAGCATTCCCCAGTGAACTGCTTAGAAGTACAGATTCTCAGCCCTACCCAGACACACTGAATCAGAAGCCCATGTGTTTTTAACGAGTGCTGCAGATGATTCTGCTGCACGCTGGAGTTTAGTGCGAACACACTGGTCTAGTAGGTTCCAATTTCGATTCTTCTCTTTGTCCCTTCCCTTCTCCTGGCCTGAGTTTACTCATCACTAAATGTTCTATGGTTTTGTGAGACTAATGAAATCACATTCTATTTTATATCCTTTTTACAGAAAATCTCTGCTTCGAGTTGGACTATGAGCCAGGTAAGTAGCCTGCATCAGGATAGCAGTGAGTGAGGGGTCCAAAATTGAAAAGGAGAGACAATTTTGCAGGGTTCTGCACTGTGCACTGTAATGTGTGTGTGTGTGTGTGTGTGTGTGTGTGTAATATTAATATATACATATTAATACTGCCTTTGTAAGGCTCTCGGGAGAACCACGAAGAGAGGACAGGCATGCCCACATACTACATACTTGGCATGAAGCTGACATTCTGAATCTGAATGTGTTGAAAGGATAGAAAGGCTAAATCAGAATGGGATAGGGTTGATCAAAGAAGTCTTTCTGGATGAGAGGAATGTTGCTCTGGGTTGCGAATCACTTTCTTAGAGCTGTCAGGAACCCCTACCCCCTCTCAGATGTAGTTTCATAGATGATAGAAGGAGCTTGGCCTGTGGATGGGAAAAGAATGAACAGAACGGACCCTATTCAAAGATGTTCTTCCCAGTCTATCAACCGAAGACCCTCATGAGTCATGAAGTTGTTAGAAGAAGTCTTCTAACCCATGTATATATCTGAATTTATGGATTTTTCTCAGTTTGTGGATACTGAAAGTTACATGAGGCAGGGTAGGCAGAAGTTTTTGGTGTTAAAAACTTCAGACTCTGATGGTTTTAGAATTGCTGAGGCAGAATAAATAACCTGTGAGTAACCCAGAAATTCTGCTGGGAGCAAAGACTGTGTGTAGGTCAGAAGGGTTTCTGGGAGGTAAGAAGTGAGGAATTAGGAAGTTTGGACTGAAGGGAGAATGTCTGCAGCCCTTGAGATATGAGGAGGGGAAGGATGTGGTGTGTCAGCAGGGAGGAGATCAGAGCAGACACCTACAGCTTTGGAAGTCAACTGGTTTAAGGTGAGCAGAACCTCTTTCCAGAGGACTGCACAGAATCAAGTGAGAGCATGGATATCCGAGCTCTCCATGTCTTCTAAGGCAGCCTTCTCAGCCTTTAACATGCACACACATCACCTGGGGATCTTACTAAAATGAAGATTATGATTCAGTGGGTCTAGGGTGGAAGCTGAGATTCTGCATTTCTAACATGTTCCCAGGTGATGCCCAGGCTGTTGGTCCACATAGGCACTACTCAAGTTGTTGGTAATAAAAATACTAGCAGGTGGGTGCCAATGAAGTTTTTAGGTCTTCCTTGAAGGTAATAACATGCCTGCTCACATCTGTGTCCTTTTGGTTTTCCCCACAGCTCACATTTCCCTAGACCCCCAGACTTCTCACCCCAAGCTCCTCTTGTCTGAGGACCACCAGCAGGCTCGGTTCTCCTACAAGTGGCAGAACTCGCCAGACAACCCCCAGCGTTTTGACCGGGCCACCTGTGTCCTGGCCCATGGAGGCTTCACAGGGGGGAGACACACGTGGGTGGTGAGTGTAGACTTGGCCCACGGGGGCAGCTGCACTGTGGGTGTGGTGAGTGAGGATGTGCGGCGGAAGGGGGAGCTTCGTCTGCGGCCAGAGGAGGGAGTGTGGGCGGTGAGGCTGGCATGGGGCTTCGTCTCGGCTCTGGGCTCCTTCCCCACACGCCTGACCCTAGAGAAGCAGCCCCGGCAGGTGCGGGTGTCTCTGGACTACGAGGTGGGTTGGGTGACCTTCGTCAATGATGCTACCCATGAGCCCATCTACACCTTCACGGCCTCCTTCACTGGGAAGGTCTTTCCCTTCTTTGGGCTCTGGGGCCGAGGGTCCAATTTCTGCCTGAGCTCCTGAGAGAGTGGTGTTACCTTCCTTTAAGTACAAGGCTTAAACAGAATTCTCTGTGGACTTGGCGCTTGGCTGAGTCCCTTGTAAGACTTGGAATAGATATTACTGCTTTAAATGATGAGCTGGGAGTTAGGATTTTGGCAAAGGACAAGGTGAGATGATTTTCAACCCAATGTTCAAATCCTTCTCCCAATGCCCAGTGGATGGTAAGGGTACCCGGGGACTCAGGCCACTGCTGGCACTTCTCACTACCATTTCCACCAGACACAGAAGTAGCTGTGTAGAGGAAAGTACTAGATTTGGAGCCAGAAGACCTGGGTTCAAGACCAAGCCTTGTCATCAATCGTGTGATCTTAAGCAAGGAACCTCACCTCTCTTCATCTTAGTGTCTTTCAAAAATACTGAGGTTCATTTCCTCATACTCTCAAGAAACATTTATTGAATGCCAATTATGTTTCAAGCAGTATAATAACCACTAGTGATAAAAAAAGAAAATGAAAAAAAAATGTCCTGTCTCTGAAGGAGCTTGCAGGAAGAGACAGTGAGATAGGAGGAAATTACAGCACAGTGTAATTGGTGCTGTGATAAGGGTCTGAGCTGGGTGTTATGGAAGCTCAGAGGAGGGAGCATAACGTAGTATGGAGGGTAAAGGTGGGTCAGAGAAAGCTTTCCAGAGAGAGTGAGTTGAGAGGATGAGTAGGGTGAATGAGGAAAAGAGAGGAGGAAGCATCTTAGGAAGAGAGAACAGAAGAGAACTGGGTGGATGACCTGTGACTCATGGAATATTGAGTCATATCCACGGTCTTCAGGAGAACATAGCCCTATTATCTGAAGATGTGCAGCCACCCCCACTCCTGACACCACTAACTGTCTCCCTTCTCCTGGTGGGATCATTTCTGGCTGAGATGAAGATGGAGGGCCTTCGGGGATGAAGACAGAAGGAGGCATGGCTATAAACCATAACCCAAGGGCTGGTCTCCACTTAATTTACTACCACCACCACCCACCTCTGTGTAGGACCACACTCAGCCCCAGGGAAGAATCATCAAATCTCCATCTGAGGTCAAGAAATGAGATGGTGGAAAGGAATGAGCCGTAAATAGCTTAGTTGTGGGAGCAGAAATGGCACCATCTGCACACTTGCGCTAGGTAAAAGAATCCCAGGTGTGGACAGGGGGATGAATTGGATGAGCTGTGACTTTTAGTCCAAGGAGTTGGCACTACTCTGGAACTGGATAAGGAGTGACATCTGGACCGCTACTTCATACCATATATGAAAATTAACTCAAAATGCATCCGGGATTCCACCAAAGAGTGTATTGTATTTTTCCGTTTGTTCTTATTGGTTTTAGCTGGGTCTTTAAAAATGACTGTTGGGCTCTAAGGTAGATGTGTATGAAGATCCCAGCCTGCTGGTGGCCTTCGAGGGGCTACTTGGTCCTCATATGTGCAGATTCAAAAACCTGAATTAATGATCATCAATATCATCATTATCATTGCCATTATCACCATCATTTTGATAGCTATCATGATTTATGTGCTTATTATGTGCCAGGTTAAGCCCTTCACATGCCTTCTGTCATTTAATCTTGGTAATTCTATGAGATAGATCCTATTATTATCCCCATTTTAAAGGTGACAAAGCTGAGGACTAGTGAGTTTTGGTTATTTAATCAGCCAAGGATTTTAATCCATGTCCAACTGAAGAGCTCTTAGCCACTACACTGCACAGCCTTGTTTGGAAATTGAGCCCCTGGGTGGGTCCTGGTAAATATTTTAATGCTGGTCATCTTTCCCACAAGTGACTTGAATTCAAAAAGAGAATTTATATTTTTTACATTGAGAAATAAAACACCTAGTGAGTGAAAATACTCATCTTGGCTTATGGGTACTTGCTCCTCCCCAAGGGCAATTCTCCTTAAAGTTTACTTGCTTCTGGAGTGTGGAGCCAGAGCAGAGGAAGTGGATGCATCCTAAAACACAATGACTTAAAGATAAGACAGCTCCATGGACCTCCCTGCTCTGCTTGCCCCAGAGTTGGGACTCCGGTTTTAATGACTGGGGCCCTGATGCCTCTAACTCCTTTTCCAAGACTCCAAAGGAGTGTTGTGCATTTGCTCTAACATCCACAAGTTTCATCTGATTTTTTTTCACAGCTCACATTGTAGCAGCTCCTTCTATTACAAAGAACAGAGACGCACTCCAGTTAGTTCAAATAATGGGAAAGTTTATTATAAGAACAGACATGGAAATAAGGAAAAAAGGATTTTTCACCATTTAGCCAGGCCTCATGGGAAGAAGCTATGAGGGCAGTTGCGGTTCAGTGGTAGAATTCTTGCCTACCATGCAGGAGACCGGAGTTCAACTCCTGGCCAATACACCTCATGCAAAGCCATCAATCATAGTCTGGTGCTATGATGCTGAAGAGGTTTCAGTGGAGCTTCCAGACTAAGATGGGCTCGTAAGAAAGGCCTGGAGATCTATGTACTCATGCAAATCAGCCAGTGAAAACCCTATGGATCACAGGTTCAATCTACAACTGATCACAGGGCAACATTTTGTTCCATTGTGCATGGGGTCACCATGAGTTGGGGGCCGACTTGACGGAAGCTAACAACAACATGGCAAGCTGTGAGGGGAGGGTGGCACACAACCAGGACATGTAGGAAGAACTGGAGATTCATAAAATGCTAATAATAATAACAAACATATATACCTTTCATTTTGGCCAGGCACAATAAATGTTTTATATATTTACTTAATGTTCACAACATTCTATGAGGTAGGTACTATTGTTAATTTTTTATATATGAGGGAACTGAGACGTGGAAGTTGAGTAACTGATCCCAAATCAGCAGATTATAAAAAGCAGAGCAAAAATTTGAATTCAGGTGGTTTGGCTCCCAAGTATGAGCTTTTGGTCATTAAGCAATACTGCCTCTATATGTTCAAGAACTGGCAGGAGGAGGGCTTGAGGTCTAAGAAAGCTCTAGAGATGGAATCATCCACTCAGCAGCATGAGCCATGGATATACCAGTACTCTGCCATGAGTGCAGTTCTGACTCCCTCTCCTTCCACTCTCCCTACCTACTAGTGACACATTCATCACGGAGCCATTTTGAATTTCCAAGAGAATCTGATAAGATCTTTCTTGTCAGGCCATAGTCTCCACTGCCCAGCCTGCAGTTAGGCTGCCCTGGGCCAGATGTCCAGCCCTAGTCCAGTCATCTGTGGTCACCTCAGAAGAAGCCAGAGGACCTGGCAGGCACCTCACTATAGCTGACTTCTCTCCGGTAGAGAGAGACCCTCTGAGCTCATCATTTTCCTTCTACTCCTGGTAGGATACTTCTGGGCAAGTTCTCTGTGTGACATTAACCGCATCTGGGTTACGAGAATTGTTAGCTGCCTCCTTCAGGGTGTTCACTCCTAGCCTAATGTCCTATTCTTAGATTTCAAGTCTCATGTTTCTCCAAGAACTGCAGCTTCCTGCCTACTAACTACGCCCTTCTTTTTTGAACATCTATACTACTAGGCTGTTCCTCCACCCCCTACCCCCCAGTCCCCAATCGCCCCCTCCAGTCCATCCTGCACAAGGAGCCAGACTGGTTTTCTCAAATACCACTTTGTCCCTTTACTTCTGCCTCAAAACCTTGATGGCTTCCTATCTCCTGGAGTCACCCATCTAACCCTCTGCTTGACTCCCAGTCTTCCCCATTCCTGAACATTCCAGACTAACCAGATCAGTCTTCTCATACTCTTCATGGCTTATTCCTACCTCTACGCTTTCATTTGTGCCGTTATCCTGACCTGGAATGCTCTCACCTTTCTCTCCCACCTATCAAATCTCCACCTCCCCTACAAAGCTTTCCCTGACTTTGCCAGTTTCACCTGTGTTTCCCTCTGAATTCTCACTTAGCATCTATGCCACTTAATTTAACCCACCCACACTCTTATTATTCCATATGTGTTGGTTCTGGCTCCACAGCTAGAGTATAAGCTTCTGGATGAGGGAATGGAATAAGAAGATGTAATTAACATGTTTAAATGTTTACGGTCTGTAAGGCCCTGCAGCAGACACCTAGCATAAATAATAACATTTAATTCTTACAACAATCCCAGGCCGCAGGTACCATTATCCTCATTTTAAGTGGGGAATACTGAGGTTCAGAAAGGCTAAGTAACTTGCCCAAGGTCACTAAAGTATTAAGTGTCAGAACTGGGACTTCAACTCAAGTTTGACTCCTGGATTTTTACTGTGGCCATGTATTATTCTTTATATCCCTCAGTGACTAGTCTAGCATTGAATATATTAGCAAGGGCTCAATGAATATTAGCTAACTGGCTACACATTAATGGCTCCATTTTTTAAACATTGAAGATCAAGAGAAGCCCTTATACTTTCTATTAATTCATTCATGCATCCATTTAATAAATTTTACTGGACACCAAGTATGATCCAGGTGCTGTCCTAGACCCTGGAGACACAAAGATAGGATGCATTCCCTGCTCATTCAAAGAAATATGACATATGCATAAATAATTTATATACAATTATATTAGTTATTCATTGTTGTGTAAAAATTACCACAAACTTAACAGCTTCAAACAACACACATTTATTATCTCACAGTTTCTGTGGGTCAGAAGTCTGAGCATAGCTTAGCTGGCTCCTCTGTTTAGGGTCTCACAAGGCTGCAAACAACGAGTTGGCTGGTCTGGGTTCTCATCTGGAGGCTCAACTGGGGAAGAATCCACTTCTAAGATCACTCAGGTTGTTGGCAGAATTCATTTCCTTGTGGCTACAAGACTGAGGGCCCCAGCTTTTTGTTGACTAGAGGCTGGAGGCTCTAGCTCTTAGAGGCTGTCTGCAGGTCCTTGACACACAGCCAATTACTTCATCAAGCCAGCAAGGAGAGTATCTGGAGTGAGTCTGCTAGCAAGATTTAACATAACATTTAACATAACACAATCACAGGCGTGACATTCCATTACCTTTGCCATATAACATAACCTAATCATGGAAGTGATATCCTATCACTTTTGCTATATTCAAAACAGAATTCCTGAGTGGCACAAATGGTTAAGCACTCCACTACTAGCCAAAAAATTGGCAATTTGGACCTATGCAGAGGTTGCCTCAGAAGACAGGTCTGGCGATCTGCTTCCGAAAAGTCACTGCCTTGAAAACACTATGGAGTGCAGTTCTACTCTGTACGAATGGGGTCACCATGAGTCAGAATCTACTGGACAGCAGCCACGACAACAACATTGGTTGGAAGCAAGTCCTGCCCACACTCAAGGGGAGGTGATTATCCAAGAGCATGAACACCAGGCGGTGAGAATCATGGGGCACCCTAGAGTCTCTCAACAATAATGAATTCAGTGCCAGCTGAGTGGAACAACCAACAGGTGCTACAGGAGCTCAGAAGGAATATTCCTCCCAACATGTGCTGAGGTGGTGAGCTCCTGCCATCCAGATATCTGGGAGTTCCTGTTTTTATATGAAATTGTGAGAGATAGACACAACGGTCAGTTCACAGACAAACAGAGATATCACAAATGGCCCTAGAGATCAGGGGCCCTGACCTCTGCAACGGGAATCATGAGCATGAGCCTGGTTTAGAAAGGAGGCCATGGCTACTGTCCAAGTGTCAGAGGGTCAAGCATCAGGTCACGGCTGTGGGGATGAGGAAAGGGGGACATGTTCAGGAGATGACCCACCTGAAGAAGCACCAAGTAGACCTAATGGGGAGCTAGGCAGGGTGGGGGAAGGAGAGAGAGGAGGCGGAGGTGAGTCTGAGACGAGGTGGCCCAGGGATGAGCAGGTTAGAGCTGCTGAGGATGGTGGAGGAGGTGATCCATTGGCTCTTTTCTCCAACTCAGGATAAATAGCCTCTAATTTCTGTGGAGCACTCCTAGAGACAAAGAACCGGCTCAGTATATTCTGTTGAATCTTCCACTGGCCATGTAACACGAAGATAGAAAAATTAACAGAGCAGTGGATTTCCTTAACCTTGATAAAGCACATGTGCATGTCTTTGAACAGGTTTTTGTGTGTGTGTGCACGTGGGGAGGGAGAAGAAACTGCTCATACCTGTTCAATAAGTCTCTGATGTTCTAGGAGAGAGAGAGATAGAAAGTGAGAATCAAAATGGGTTCTCAGGTTCCTGTCACCTGCAAACTCCCTCCCCAACCCACTCTTGGAGGTTGCCTTAGGTGTCACCTTGAGAACTGGGCAGGAGGATTGCACCCCTCTTCTGTACCCCACTCTGCTGGAGGAACATTGTGTGACCTTGGACAAGCCACTGTCAACATACATCATAAAAGAAGCCTTTTCCTCTGACACCTTCCAGAGGGGCGTTGCAGGAAGTCTGCTTACTATTCTGGGAGAAGACCAGTCTTTGGGAGGTGCCTCAGGGCATGCACCTTCAGCATGTTGGCATCCAGTTGCTTGGCTGCCCTCTCCAGATCATCGATCAGGCTTCCGAACTGTGTTATTGCCAAGATTCTGGCCTTCTCTGCTGGCATGTCCTCCAGCTGGTCCAGCTGCTGCTGAGGGAGGGCATTCAGCTGTCCCCGGGCTTGGTGCTGGCTTTCCAGCTCAGCCTCCAGCCTGTGATTCCCACAGCCTACCCAAAATTACAGACCCTAAGAGTCAATGTTAGTCAGCCCTTCCCAGTCTCTGAATAGTCTGAATGGGAATGCTCGTTCCTCAGTCCTCTTCCTCTCGTGATGAGGCCTCTGGGTGTTATAGGTATTGCAGAGGCAGGTGTGAGTCTCATAAATGCAGGGCTGCCTCTCCTTCTGCCTCACACTTTTACAAACATCCACAGGTTCCATGTTATACCATGATGGTAATACACACACACACACACACACACACACACCACTCAACTATATACTCTTGCTGCCTGCTGTTAGCACCCTTTGAGTTGTAGGGTGAGAAGAGAGTCCACACAATGAGCAAGAAAAAAATTTAGACTATTAGAGACATAGATGGAGACCTACATTTTGTGGAGTAATTTTCAATTGATGAGACACCTGTCTCCTTTGATGCTCACCGTGAGCCAGGTAGAGAAGGATTGATGTTCATTTAACATGTAAGTCGCTCAACTAGCAATTCCCAAGGCCCAGCCCAGCACCCAGGTAGGTCTTCAACCTCAGAGACCTTTCCCACCACATCAGGCTTCTCCCCAAACAGAGACAGATGACCTATGGAAAAAAGGGCCCCTGAGGACACTCTAAGGTTGTTCTTCCCAGGAATCTGAGAAACCCACCTGCAGGGTTTGCAGTTTCTCCTTCTCTTGAGCTTCGAGCCGCTGAAGTTCCCCAAGGTCCTTTCTAAGCTTCCTGCTCCGGCGGCTGAGTCGTTCCTAAAGAGACAGACAGACCTGCTTGTCAGACTGGGGATGAGGGGTGTCACTCACTGCAAGGAACTCAGCGATCCCAGGATGAGGCTAAAGTATAATTCTGCCTAAAAATAGGCAGCCCTCGAAGCATCATGCTTGAGGTAAGGAACATGAGAATTTATTAAATGGATAATGATGAAGGGAAAGCAATGGGTATTTTTTTTTAAAAAAAAGCCTTAACCACACAAAATTACAGAAGTATTTCTACTTGACTTCAAGGTGCTTGTCTCCAAACATTTAAAAATTGTATTGTATACTGATCTTCTGGAAATTCTTATTACTTCACATTAGCAAATGAAGCCAGGCTGGAGAGAACTAACTTAAGAGGCAATGCAAAGCCTCTGGTCCATTCCTCCAGGCTCCTGGCTGGGATGGACAAGAGCCCTCTATTAGATGCAAACCCACAGCCCAGGCAGGCATTTGCCCTCTCTCTAAATCTTAATCAGTATCTGGATGGATCACTGTTTCTCTGAAGCTAAGGATATAATGAATGATTTTTGATAAACTATGAGGGAAACAAAGATTTAAAAAAGCTGGTAATGATATCAGCATAGGCCGTTACCAACGAATCAATGTGGAAGAAAAGTGGGGGGAGGATGTCAACAAAAGACTCTGGAAACATTCTTCTTGAATCTTATTAAATTAGTTACAAAATGTACTTGCTCTACCAGATAAAGAAAGTATACAAAGGCATAGTAGTAAAAACCGTATGGCAATGGTGCAAGAACAAATAGAAAATTAAAAAGAAGAGAGAGTTCAAGGACAGATGCCTGTTTATAAAGGAATTTAAAAAGAAAGATAGTACATAAGTCAGTGGGAAAAGGGCAGAATCTGTAGAAAATGGTGTTGAGAAAACTAGCTTACAACAGTAGAGAAAAATAGAACTGTATCCCTATCTAGAATCATATGTGAAGGCAGATGCCAGATAGATTAAAGACTTAAGTAGAAAGATAAAACCATAAAGTTAGTGGAAAATAATGTTAGAGAATAAATTTATGATCAGGGAGTAGGGAAATATGTCTTAAACAAACCCTCAAAAGCACAAACCATGAGGGAGTAGTTTAATTTGAGTACATCAGAATTAAGTATTCTGCTCAACGATGACACCACGGACAAAATTAACTGAGAAATGACAGATTGGGAAATGATGTCTGCAATGTCTAAACCAACAAGAGACTTACATGTAGAATACAGAAGGGAAAGCCTGCGAATCAACAAGAAGAAAACAGAAAAAACTATGAAGAATGAGAACAGTCAATTCACCGAAGAGGGGATGCAAAAGGCATGTGAATCCATGACCAAACTCATTGATGATTACAGAAATGGAAATCAACACAGCAGTGAAATATTATATGACACCCCTCACAGATGGATAAAAATTATACACATGGATAATGCCCAATATGGGGGTGGGATGGGTATATAAGGATCCTAACACATGCTGGTTGGATGTACACTGGCACCACCATTCTGGTGAGGGTCTAGGCCACTTTAGTGTCCTTTTCTTATGATCCAGTCGTCCTGTTTCTGAGTTAAAAACAAAAGCAAAACAGTTGCTGTAGAGTCGGCTCTGACTCGTGGCAACCCCATGTGTGTCAGACTAGAACTGTGCTCCATAGGGTTTTCAGTAGCTGATTTTTTGGAAGATGATTGCCTAGTCTTTCTTCCGAGGCACCTCTGGGTGGACTTGAACCTTCATCCTTTACAACATTTACAGTTAGCAGCTGAGTGCATTAACCATTTGTACCACTCAGGGACTCCATTTCTGGATAAACATCCCAGAGAATTCCTCACTTAACTCCTAAGGAGATGTGCGTACTACAGCATTGTTTGTGGTTATCAAAGGGTTGGAGTTATACAACGTCTATTAAGGGGGAAATGGATAAGTAAAATGTGCCAGATGCCCACTATGGAATCCTGTGTGTCTGTCAGAAGCAATAGACTGTATGACACACAAAATACAGATTGATCTTAAAAATATGGCGCAAAGTGGAAAAGCAAGAAATAGAATGAGGTCTATAATATAGTGGCACTTTGTGAACTAAATGTATAAACACACAATACAGCAATATGAGTTTTACCAAACCGTCCAAACATGAAAACACAACAAACACTTCAGAATGGCTGCATATGGTAGGGGGGAGGAGAATGCTGTGGGGGATGGTGATAAATTGAAATAAATAAAAGAAAGGGGTTCATGGACTAAATATAAGGATGTGCTATTAGCTGAAAGCATGTGTTTGTTTAAATTTTTCCCACTTGAGATGAAAAAACAATCAAGGTGTCTGAGGAAATTTCATAGCTGTTGTTTTTGGCTGTTTATGGGGAATGCTTTTGATCTTTGTGTTTTGCCTCATTCTCTCTTGTAAACTCTCAAAATGTATTGCCTTGGGAAGAGAAGACTCCGATATCCCTGGAGATGTGCAGATAGCGGGTGGGGTTGGAGAAAATGACTTTGAAAGTCATGTTTCTGGCCCTGAGATTCTGTTGATGAAATCCAGGTGGAGGGACTGTGGGTGAGAGGTCACCAAAGCATTCAGGCAAACAAAAAGTTTAAGTAAGCAGAAGAGACAGTAATGTCACTAGAAGGTTATTAAAAAATTGTCTCCACACATTGGGTATTACCTGCAGACACGTGCCTGCAGAGAAGGAATAAAAAGCTCACAGAAGTTTCATTGCAACAATGTTTGTGGTAGCAGAAAATTAGAAAAAATTTAATTGTTCATCAACAGTGAAATTAATAACAAAATTTTAGTATATTCTAAAGTAGAATACTCTGTTAAAAATGAATAAAACACATGTATTGGAAAGAAGCCCAAGATGTTAATTACCAAAGTTTTGAACACTGTTAAGTGTAAAAAAAAAAAAAAAACCTAAAAGAAAAACTCCTAGAAGGAGTGAGAGGTGGTAAATGGGCAACATGGATTTTACTCATGGTCTTCTTGGTGAAGGTGGCAGGCTGGTTGGGCTGGGGAAATGTTTGTCTGAGCACAAAAGTTCAGGTCTCACAAAGCTCAAACAAACAAAAAGACTGCATGGGGTGTGTTCAGGGAAACAAAAAGGAACCCTTTGCTATCCTATCAATCTACTACTTTCTCCACCCTTGAACTTCTGGAAAGAGTAGTCTGTCTTCACATCCTCATCTCCTCTTCATTCCTCAGCCATTTGGGCTGTCTCTCATCACTCTTCTGAAGCCTGTCTCTTCAAGGTCACCAGTGGCCTCCAGTGATAAAATGTGGTGGTGCCTTCTTCTCAGGCATTCTCTTTGATGTAATCCTCCCCTCAAGCCTCTCTCTCCAGCTTCCTTGACCTTGTCCCTCCCACCACTGCTCCTTGGTTTCTCCATTGTTCCCATAAATGGAGGTCTTCCCCAAAATTGTCCCCCTAATCCACTTTTATCTCCAGATTAGGTCCTTAGCTTTCAACCCTGGTGGCTTCAGATTCTGTCATAATTACCACACCAGTTCTTTTTCCTAATAGCCAAGCTCGGATTTCCAACTGAGAGCTAAGGATCTCCTATTGCTCTATTGGCAGCTCAGAATCAACGTGGAGAAATCAAACTTACCACCCCCTTCCCTATCCTCTCCTGCAACCCACTCCTCTTGACATCCATATTTCTGTCATTGGACCCACCATTCAGCCAGTCATCCAGTTTGAAATGTCAGTGATATTTCCTCTTTGGTATCTTCAAAATGACTCCTCATTAACTAAGATAAGCCCAAACCCCTTAACTCAGCATCCCAGGCTCTTCATGACCTAAACCCAGTTTACATTTTCACTATTATCTCTCTCTACTCCCCTGCATGCCCTCTGCACTCTAGTCAAAAAGGGTTCCTTTTTGTTTCCCTGAACATACCCGATGCAGCCGCACCTCCACATGCCTTATCTTTTACTTCCTCTGCCAGGAATGCCCTCTACCTATTTCCGCCTGTCAAAATCAGGCCCGTTCTTCAAATACAGTTCAAAGAGCCATGGTTCTATTCTTCTGGCATCGTTTCAAATTTAAGGAAGAGTTTAGAGTCAACTGTAGGCTCTGTGTAAATGAAAAAAGAAAGCAAAGAGAACAGCAATAAAGATAAATGCATGAAACAATTGAAGATAATAAAGATGTGTCATTCACAATATTCAAAACCAATAGGTTAAAGTTCTGTGTTTTAAAAAATGTATTTATTCATACATTATTTATTAAAATAATATTTAGTGGGTATATATCATATGAAAAAGGCACTCATTAGAATTAAAAAGCAAAATTTACAAACTTTTATCTACCAGCAATATTCCTTAGGGAAAAAAAGGACAAACTGAAATATAGGCAATGATCCTTATGTATATTAAATCCTGTCTTGTCTTAATGGATATTTTAAAAAGCTTATGATCCTATCAGATAAAATGTGATTTCAGAGTAAAAAAAGAACAAAAAAAAGGCATTAAGAAGTGAAACGTGAGAACCTAGCAACATTGAAATTCGTTCTCAAACAGCTTACTAACAAAATGTGTAAAAGAAAAAGTGGTTAATAGACAAAAATGTACCTTGCTTTGATAGAGTCACATACACATACACAAAAACTTTCAAAAAGCACACTCCTTATAAAACAAAAAGTGTCCCAAAACAGAAAAGAATAATGTCACCCATTATTATATCTTATGAGGAAAAAAAAGGTGTTGATCACTAAATCTGATAACGTCCACACGATTATGCATCTAAAAATGTCAGGAAATTAACTTAAAAGATATATGAGCTCAGCAAAGACTGTCATTTGAATTTGAAAGTACCAATTACCAAAAAGCTAACCTTATAAAATATATAACTACCCTCAACAGAGTCAAGGTACATGAGGTACAAATAAAGACAATTTAGTATTTGATTCAGAAACATAAAGGAAAATGCTTAGTGATATACCTGACTGCTGGTTGAGAAGATTAAATAAGCCCCCAAAAGTCCTAATTCTTAAGGTCATTAACAAATTTAATGCAATGCCAATTAAAATCTCAGGGAATGCTTTATAAAACTTAGGAAAATTACATAGATACTTTCCTCTGAAAAAAGTGGGCAAGAACATTTGGTTACAAAAAAAATATTAAATGGCGAAGATGCTGCTAAATTTAAACACAAACCATAAAGCAACATGTATCAAAACTATATAATAACAACTTTAGAACAGAAAAAATAATCGAAGGACTAAATCCAAACCAAAACAAACCCTCTGCCATTGAGTTGATTCTGACGCATAGCTGCTCTACAGGACAGAGTAGAACTGCCTCATAGGGTTTCCAAGGCTGTAAAGCTTTACAGAAGCAGACTGTCACATTTTCTCCTGAAGAGCACCTGGTGGGTTCAAACTGCCAACCTTTTGGTTAGCAGCCAAGCACTTAACCACTGCACCACCAGGGAGTAGAGAATTTAAAAATATTCCACTATTATAAGAACTTAAGTTATGCCAAACCAGAAACAACACATAGGTGTGGAAAGAACTCACTTACTATAGAAATGCTTTGGGGACAGCTGGATACCAGAATGAAGAAAAATTAAGGTGGAATCATCTTTCACATAACACAATATATTAAATTTCAATTGTCAGAAATTAATCAACCTTTAAAAATAAAATAGAACAACATAATCATATTAGACAAATGTCTGAGTATTTAAAATATGGAGATTATATTTTTAAAAAGAATAGAATGAGATTAGATAGAAATTTCAAAAATATTTGCACCAAAATTCAATAAAAAGAAAAGAAATAACATACTAAGAAAAATGTAGGTTAAACATAATATAGTTTATTATTCAAAAGATAAACTACTTTGATGCAATCATGTAGAATTTATGCCCTGATCCTAGGGGAAAATGTAGACAATGAGTCTTCACGTAGATAAAAGCCTCACTGCGAGCATTCATAATCAAGCAAAGTAAAACAACTTAAGTCATTCTTACACACTAATTAAACCAGCAAAATACATTAAAATGATAGATCCCAACATTGGTAAGGCAATGGAGAAACAGGTGTACAAATAAGATTTTGTAGCATTGCAAATTTGTTCAGCCTAGAGTGCCGTCAGAGATTATGTAATTCCTTTGAAAAGGACACAAGCTACGTCTGGGTGAATTTAATTCAAAGAAATAAAGACATGGTTAAGAACCACGAGAAAACTTTATTTCAAAATTATGCTATCAACTTCTAGAAGAACACAAGTCCCTCTTGGTCTACCTTGAGTTTCAGGGTCCACTGTTATAATCATTCCTTTGAAAATACCCTCAACCCTCTTGCTGCTGTTTATAATAGTTTTCAGGCAACTCCTTATTGTTGGATAAACTCTTACCATCACCTTTTCTTTGGCTCTCCTCAAGCAGCCTCTTGAATCATATTATTGAGGACATAGAAACTGTAATACCCAAACTACCTCCCAAACTGCGAAACTACCTACACTTGCAGACACCTTCTTTTGTTCCCGACTGTTAAAATGGACACCCCACCCAGCATTCACTTCTCTGTCACCATCTTATTACACTGCTCAACATCATTCAAGACCATCTATCATCCTTCCTCAAAACACTCGTCTCATTTAGCATCTAGGGCGCCATTCCCCTGGTTTTTCTCCTGCTTTTCTGGTGGCTCGTTCTAAGTTTCCTTGGCTGGTTCCCCCTTTAATCTAGATAACGGCCTTTCTCAGGACCTTGTCCTGGAACTTCTTTTCTCTCTAGACTGTCTCCTGAGGAGTCTAATTCCCTTGGATTTAAATATCATCTTTATTCTGATGGATCCCTCTCTTAGGTGCTGGGAGTACTACCCCAGACTCTCTTTGTAAATCCAGACTTGCTGTCCAACAGTCTATCTAGTATCCTGCTTAGGTGTGTCTCAACTTGGACTCAACTTGTCGTAAATGAAACTCTTGATGTTTCATTCAAACCTGTTCTACCCTGTCCTTATCTGTTACATCATCCATCCAGTTTCTCAGACCATAAATTCATGCAGTTATCTTTGATTTCTCTCATTCGCTTGCCCCACTTCCAACCTATCAATGAATCCTGTCAGTGTAAACTCTCATTATAAATTCTTCAAATGTATCAACATTTCTCCAACTTGAGGCCTCTCCATGTGCTGTCTCTTCTCCCAGTCTTTGCCTTTGTCAGCTTCTCTTCCTTTAGGTCTCAGCTTCAATGTCATCTCCTCCAAGAGGCCCTCACTGACCACACTATTTAACATAAAAATTAACAGTTGCCATGAAGTCAATTCCAACTCATGGTGATTCCATGTGCCAGAGTAGAACTGTGCTCCATAGGGTTTTCGATGGCTGATTTTTTAGAAGTAGATCACCAAGCCTTTCTTCCAAGGCACATCTGGGTGGACTCGAACCTCCAACCTTTCAGTTAGCAGCTAGGCGTGTTAACCATTTGCACCCCTAAGGGACTCCATAGGTTGCCCATAATGCTCCATCTTAGGCCCTTGTTTATTTTCTTCCTATCTCATTAAAAAAAAAACCTTGTAGTTTGTCTGATTTCTTATTTGTTTGTCTCCCTTACTAAACCGAAAACTCCCTGGCAGTAGGGAAGGCATCTGTCTCGTTCATCACTATATTCCTAGCACATATTACAGCTCCTAACACACAGTAGGAACTTATTAAATCTTTCTTAAATGAGCAAATATCATTATTTATTTGTTTTAGTTTCCTGTCATAAAACAGGATAATGATAATAATTCTGTCAAGTCTAAAGGTAGACCTAAGGATAAGGATTATGAATCATCTTTGTATTTTCTACAATGCCTAATACAACATCCTTCACAAAGTACAGACTTGAGTAAACATTGAATGAGTGAATAGATTTCTCCATCCCAGGCCTGGGAACCAGTGTGGTTCCTTAAGTATCTCTGGCCTCATCAGCGGGTGGGAAACCCTTCCCCCCATCCTGTGGGAAGGCAGAAAGATGTTTCTGAATTGTTTCTCTACCTTTTTATAGTTACCCCCAGTCTGGACTTTCCAGTTTCCCATTCTGTATCATAACATGATCTCATAAAGTCAAGCACTTAAAAGAAGACTTTGGAAATCCATATCTCATTATTGGATAGAAAGACACCATAGTGAAAATATGTCAATTTTCTATCCAATTGAATACTAAGTGGATTGGAAGGTGGTTGGTAAAAATTATTCTATAGCTAATTGGCAAAATAAATGCCTATGAACATCCACAAAAAATTCTGAAAAAATAAGAGTATTGTGAGGGTTATAAGACCTATCCAACATCAAAACACATTGTAAAAGATATAATTCTTCTGTGTTGTTGTTTTAAGAGCGTATACATACATTAAATTTTCTGGAAGGATACACAAAAATTTAACAATGTTAGCTCTCCCCAAAAACTAAAAATTGAGGGAAGCAAAGAGAAAGATTTTTAGTTTCAACTTTATACCTTTCAGTGTTGTCTGAATTTATTACCAAGAGTATGTAACTTGTATGATAAAAAAGTAAATAAAATAGGATAAAAATAATCATAATAAGAAGAAAAGAAGGAAGAAAGGAAAGAAGGGAGGGAAGGAGAGAGGAAGAGTAGGAAGGAAAGAGAAAGTGGAGAAGAGAAAGAGAGTCATGTACTGATTTCCAAGTTTCAAAATATTTGCAGGATAATTATAAGCTTATGTAAAACCTGATTACATTTCTAGCCAAATTACTAGGGCTATCAACCAGACAGCCATGTAGTTTTAGTAATGGTAGAGGTTTTTTTTTTTTTTTTTTTTTT